CGTAAAGTGGGAAGCGTGCTCCATTAACAAGGTAACAGTCATCCGGGTCCTCTACACAGGATCACGCCACAATAAATTTCTGCTGAATACGACCCCCCCCCCCAAGATAGGGTCTCGACACAACCCTCTCCCTCATCCACTTGCTAATGGCCTAGCGTTGTAAACTCTTTCTTTTCGCGGACAAAAGCGAAAATCGAGGGGAAAACAGTGTTCGGTGGATGAATGTACTCAATTCGAATGATGAGCCCACTCACCAAGCGAGGGCCAAAAACTCGGCTAAAAAGAAGGAACTAGTAGTCTTGCTGCAGGTAAAGGATACCATGCCAGTGAAAATCGTTTATCTGCTACTAGATAAACACGTAACTGGTAGCAGATTCATGCATCTGCACTAAATCGTTTAGGAGGGCACCAGCACTTAAACAATTTGGTGCTATCAGGTAAACAATTTGGTGCTGGCGCCTTCATAAGGCATGAATCCGCCAGCAGTAGAAATGAAAACACTGAAAAAATACTCAAGACCTGCGAAAATAAACGACAAAAAAGACGCGAGTGCACTTAAAGGCGTTCACTTGTTGTTCTCACGCCCTCTTTGGATATCGTAACCAACCCTATGAGGACGTACAAGTTTGCAACACTAAAATGCGAGAGAATAGCAGCGCCCGCTCGTGAAGAGTCTTCCCCCCACCTGGCGACCACTACGCCCAACTTCATTTCTAATGGTTGCCTGATGGTGCGGTTGTTCCGCAACCAACTCTCTCCGCTATGGTGAGAGTGAGGTGATAAGGGAAAACAGCTGATATCAACAAGTGAGAACTCGTGCGGCCGCGCCTTCTTTTCGCCTTGAGCACGTACAACCTCAGTTCGGTGTGGGGTCCTATATAGGGCAAATCCGATGATTTTTTGCATTTTTTTCACTAATGAACTACTTGCTACCTTGTTGTCACTGTCTGAGCCCCATAACTCATCAAATTGAACGCGGGCGCTGCCTTTAAGCACAAATTATAAAGAACACAAATAAAATGAGACAAAAAAGGATGCAAAAGTTTGAGAAACCATAATAAGACACAAATGTAAAGCATCGGGTTGGCAAATATG